TACAGCTTCTCCACCAGCATCCATGTCCAAGCAGTACTACAGGTCAGGTCACATGTACACAGACACGCCTGACTTCAGAATTTTCTCCTAGCTAGATTTCCCACATGAGAAAGAAAAAAAAAAGGCAGCTTTAAACTTATCTTCCCCTTCTGCCTTAAAAAAAATTGTATATGTTGTCTCATTGAAATATGCTTGCTGTTTGCTCAAATTTCTCCAGTGGATCTGAGGTTCAATACCCTGGGTAAGCTGGTTACATCACTGACTTCAAAATATACTTACTTAACTCAGATCCAAATAATCTGTTTTATCTTGCATTGGATTCATACTTCCTAGAACATTTCCTAGAAGGAAAAACATTCTTCCTGGCTGGAACACTGCGATATTTTTATTCATTAGGAAGCTACTTCATGCACTTCTTTATTTTTTTTTATTTTACTATTTTTAAGTTACTTACAGTAACATACGTTTGCAGAATTTGAATATTCATCCTTATTGAACATTTCCCATTCTTAGCTGCAAAAGGTTTTGTCAACAGGACAAAAGCACTTGTACAAATATTAAGGTACAATTAATAAAAGAATATTTTAAACTGAAAAAAACTTCTAAATGTGTTGAATAAAAGGAAAGTTTAGCAATACATAAGTATAATAAATTAACCCATTACAGTGGAACTTATAGATAAGTTAGTGAATTTGACTGTTTGCAAGCTTTCAGAAGAACAGAAGCAATTTTCATACCTTCTTGTTATTCACACATCAAAAGAAAAAGCTTCTCAGCTTTTGTAATCTCTCAGCTCTGAGGGGACAAGTCACCCAACTAGCCCCAGTTACAAATATGAATGAAGAATGTATTTTCTTTCTGCATCCAAGTTACTCCTGTCAAACTAGTTCTGTAGTGCAGCAAATCCTCAGAAGATATTTCCACCTACTCAGCAGTTACACTTTCTTCAGTTGCAAAAACAAATGCATCCTTTTTGAATATTATAATTTAATTAAAATAGTTACCACACTATGGTGAAGTTAAGGCCTGAATTTAGTACTTCCAAGTCTGAATTATTTGTAATTCTTTTTAATTATTGTTTTAACCCAGTTGGCTTTCCAAACACTTATTTTGCTATGCTTCATCCTTCTGCCTACATTTTCCCACTGAGGTCTTCACATTCCTGTCATATTTTCACAAGGCTCATGTGCATGAGCACTGAACATATGCCCCCGTCCTTTCCTTCTCTCTGGAAGGCCAGCAACCTATGTATTTCCAGGATTTACTCATTAAGATCATTTGGCACATGAATCATCCCACTGCCTTTACTCACATGACAAGCTCTGAGGAGCAATGCTGCACAAACAAGTCCATGCAATCCTCAGGCTTTAAGGATAAAGGTTCCTCTTTCTGCTGTCCCTCTGCCAACAACACATCCCTCTGCCCTCCCCTTATCAACAGTGGGTCAGAGACACAAAGCATCTCCTCTACTGACAGGAAGCCAAAGGGAAGCACTTCATTACAGATAGGACTATCAGGCTTTCTGTGGGGTCTGGCCTCTTGACTTGCACCTGTAAACACTAGAATTGCAGATCCCCAGTGCCTACAGACAGCAGTTTTTGACAGCTCACCTATTCCTGAACCAGCTGCCTCCCAGGAGCCTCACTACAGCTCCATTAACAATCAGCCACAGTTCAAGACATTATTCAGACCTACCTACTGCTTTTTTCCTCCTTTTTAATTATAAATTCCAGTATGTAGCAAGTCACACCTCCATCCAAGCACATTATGCCATGCTGAAGACAGGGCAATTCATCCCTGGAGGGCAGAAGGACACAAAGAAATTAAGCATCTTAGAACACTACACAGCCATTTCAGGCATAAACAAACCCCTCCCAGTTCAGGGCTTTGGCCAAAATACCCTCAGAGCTTTATGTTCAACAAAGTTGAGGAGAGCAAATATAGCACAGGAAGGGATTCCAGACAGAAAATCAGCAGCTGGAAAGTCCACAGTTAACATTATTTATGTTCTTATCAAGCAGGTCCTAAAAGGAAAGGTGCAGTACTCACAGACAGCCAATGAACCTGTCAGCATCTACAACTTTATGATAAAAGACAAAGCAAGCCCATAACTCCCCCTGAACAAGAACAACTTTAAATGCTGTACCAAACTGCATTTCAGAGCCAGCTTTGACTGCAATGCTGGCGTAATGCTCCACACAACTGGATGAAACTGATGCACAGCCCAGACCTCTCTCAGTGGCATCATCCTTCCCTCTAAGCAGTTTGGTACAGAGTCATGTATGAGTCATTATTCTGAAGCATGATGTCAGGGGATTTGCTGTATTTTCTACACTGCACAAACAGCAAAACACAGAAAATCCCATATGAGGGGATTTACACAGCTTTGGACAATATTTTTCTAACCACTCACATGATATTCTTGAGAAAAAGCAATTCTCACCAAAACCCAACATCAGCAAAAATAAGTTTTCTCCCTAAAGTGGGGAAATGGATCACTTAAAGGAAACACATAAAAAGGAAGAGGCTTCACATATTTGACCCCTGAGTCCCTGTTTACTGTAAAGGGGTTAACAACACTCAGGAAAATCCAGATTTTTTTTTTTAAGGGATCAAGGCCTTTGCCAGCTGATTTCAAGAGCAAATAGAACTCCCAACAGATTTGGCCTAACGTGATTCTGGACACAGCTGAAAAGGATTTGGCCACTATAAGAAGACAAACCACCCACATAAAATCAGCCACAGTTGTGCTGGTCCTGCAGCCCAGCATGTGACCTGGCCCAGGTAAGCATACAGCCATCAGGGCTGTTTTGGACAATAGCATGCAGAAGAAAGCTTCTGCGTCAGCTGTGTGAACCCACAGGGGACCACAACCAGTTGCAAGAGCACTGAGCTCAAGGGAAAGCTTGTGCCTTTATGCCTGCAGTGTTACCAAGGCCAAATGTAGCCAGCTTATGGCTACTTTGGCTCCCTTTCATGCTTTGCACTTGCTATTGCGGTCCAGACGTGTGTGAATTTCAGCCATGTGGTTTCACCTGATGGCCTTTCCATTTGCAGTGTCTGCTGAGCCCAACTCCAAAAGCTCAGTATTTTTACCTAAGAGAAGTACTTAAACCATTGTCCTAGTAACAAACCACAGAGTAAGGAAAAAGGACAAATTCACAGGGAGTGACAACGTTATGTACCAATGTGCAACAGACTATGAAATGGAACTCTTGGAAAACCCTTTGATATACAAGTGTGGCAATTCATAGCACTAAGAGCTTTACCTGCTAGGCCTTACCAAAACTTTCCAATACATCCCTCCCAAACCATAAGGAATAGTAGGTACAAATTAAAAAAGAAAAAAACTGGTCAGATGTTGCGACAACGTAAGTTTTCACATGACAATCTGAGCCTGCATTTCTGATCCCAAGAGAGGTCCCACTCCGTATCAACAGCGCTTCTCTGCCTGCAGGACACCACAATGGTGGGAAATGCACAACAGCTACAGCCCGTCAAGCAGCTGTGGTGCCTGCAGGTGGAAGTTCAGCTCCATTCCCTGGATGTAAAAACTGAACGCCCAAGACGCTCCTGTGGTGATGTATAACCTATGCTCACACAGCACGGGCACAGGAGAGATCCTGCACAGCTGAGATAAGGCTCTCAGCACGCCAAGCTGAGCAGTTCTCCAGGGTTTTTCCTTACAAGTCTCCAGCTGGCAGGACAGAAGTGCAGTACTGTCCCACAGCTCGCACGGCCATCCCGAAGCAACACAGTAGGGCTTCTCAGGATAAGTAGCTGTGGATACATGTTCAAACACAAGCGGTGAGGAAGCACTTCTGTGTTCTTACCAGCTGATTCCAGTAAAAGAAACCAGTGGCAGAATTTCTATTCCAGTGAGCTTTTATTCTTATTCAAATTTGGTATGGCCAAACATGAGCTGACAACATCTTTTCAACAAATGTGATCTCACAGTCATTTTCTCCCCCTTTTGCTTACAGGGTCTTTGCCACAACACTTTATTTGGCCCTATAACATTTTTATACCCCAATATAATCTGGGGATGCAATTCTTCTAGGAAAAGTGTAAAGAAACAAGAAAGACTCATCATTTCATTCTATTTGCACAAGCTTTCACAACATGCAAGACAAAAATAAAGAGGGGAGAGCCCATTCCTCCCTATGGGGCCCCAGGAGAACCAGCAGGATTTCCCATGCCAACCCACATTACAGAGACCGAAGAAAGACTTGGAAACAGACATTTGGGAAAAGCAAGCTGACGAAGGCTGAGTAATTAACAGAGGCCACATGGAAAAAAATAACAGCTTGGTTTCACAGACGCGCTACTGAGAGCCCTGCCTCTTCAAACACTCTCGGGCATCCAACCCTCACAGCACAGGATACACAAGAGTCCCGAATAAGGCAGAAAGCTGTCCTCACGTCAGTGTCTCTTGTCTCCCAGAGTTACAATCTCCACCGTTGCATGTAATAGCGAGCCATTTCCAAGCATTACCTGGCCTGGGAGAGTTTCCCTTAGCGAAGGACCTGGGTTAAGGCAGCTGTTGTACGTACCATGTGCCGAAGGCCAACCAAACCTCTGCTTCGAGCTCCCATTTCATAACTCTGTTTTCACCCTCAGCTAAACGGGGGCGTGTTAGGCTACAACACGGGCTGAGCCGTACGCAACCGGGCTGGAAGCCTCCACACCCCGACCACAGCGAGCAGCCACCCACTCACCCGGGGGACTCCCGGGTGGGGAAGAAATTCACAAGGAACCAGGCTAGCAGAACAACAAAACACTCGTATTGAAAAAAAATATACTTTTCGCTGAAAAAAAAAAAAAAAAGTATTTATATATATATATAGTTGTTACGCGATGCCTGCTGGCCGCAAGGGCAGCGCACACAATGGAGCCGCCCAGGGCTGCGCCCGCCGGCACCCCCGGAGCCCTCAGGCCGGGCTTGCGCTTCCACCGCCGCCGGGCCGTGCTGGGCCGAGCCGTGCCGTGCCACCACTCACCGAGGCCGCTGATCTCCTGGCGGAGCCCGGCGCGGCTGCGCTCCTCCGCTATCGCCCGCAGCATGTGCTGCAGGGAGCGGCCCGGCTCGCCGCCCGCCCGCTCGTCCTGCGGCCCGCTGCCGGCAGAAGCCATGGTGCCGCCGGCCACGCTCTCATGTCAGCCTCAGCCGCCGCCGGGCGGAGCCGAGGCCGCCCCGTGGCGGCGCTGAGGGAGCGGAGAGCCCAGCCCAGCCCAGCCCAGCCCAGCCCGGCTCGGCTCGGCTCGGCTCGGCCCGGCCCGGCCCACCGCAGCTCCCGGGCTCCCCCTGCGGAGCCGCTCGGCCCCGCAGCCCCAGCCCTAGCCCCAGCCCTTCCGCCTCCGGCCGCCCGACCCTACGGGGACTGCGGCCCTCGAGAAGAAGCGCCCGGGGGGTGGGTTCCGGGGCGCTTTGGTCACCAGCCTGCCCCACAGGCAGCTTAGCACCCGCACGTCCTGCTCCCTAGCTGTAGCCAGGCCCTCCTCAGTTTGTGGCTGCAGCTGGAGAGCAACACAATCGCCTTTCTTTTGCAAACCAGTCACTGAACGATATTGTTTTATTCCCTCCTCACTTCCTAAAAACATAACGAGGCTTGTGCAACATTCCGTCCCCTCCCCCCTTTCCAAAGTCCCATTTGAAACTTAGTCCTGAAGGTGATAATTCGGAGGAGAAAAGAGGTCAGAGAACTTAAGCTAGACATCACCTTAGAGCTTGGCTTTCTGCTAGAGCTTAATAAGGAAAAAAAAAAAAAAAAAAGCTTCCAAATGATGAATGATTGCTCTCCAAAATAGCAGACATTTATGCCGCATTGCTAGTTTCAATTTCAAGCCAGCTTCTGAGACAAATAAGTTATCAATGCTATCAATGATAGCTTTTTACAACTATATACTTATTTCCTATTACAGGGGCATAGACAAGAACGCTTTCTGTGGAAGGCCCACATGCTGAAATGGACACGAGAGAAATTTGCAGTCACTGCATGTTTTTCAGCAAAATATTTAGTTTTTACAATGCAATGGGCAGCGTGGACATACAATTAAGGGACTTAAAGACCTCTGCTATTGTTGTATCTGGTCGTTCCGTTTCTCAGCTTTTCAAGAACAAAGGTTTACAGTCCCATACTGGCTCCACAAATGCACGCTTTAGAGTTATTTATCCCCTGGGTTTACAAAGGGGAGAAGAGCAGAAGACTATCCTGTGCTCTTAGATTCCAGGTTGCTCCTGACGTGGCCAAGATGAGACCCTTCCGACAGGAAAACGAAATCTCTCTGCTGCCAGAGGAATTTACAGTATCCTTTACCTCATGCCATTGTGTTTTTATATATGGAGTGGTAATCGTGTCGAGAAAATGGTTGATATTAATAAAGAAGGGGGAGATGTGGGAGTATGGCCATGGGGGTCAGAAAGCCCCGTGGTTGAAGATAACATTAGACTCTTAACGATGAGGCCATCAGGAATGTAAAAGAGTTTAGAGGGAACAAAGAAGGGTGATTCAGGAGACTCCATGCAGTCTGGGGTTTCTTGTTCTCCAGCTGTTAAGGCATGAAAGCTTCTGGGTGTTTGCTGTTGTTGTTATTTGCAAAGTTGTTTGACCAATGAAAAGTTGTTTTTGAAAACGACTGCTGTGGGGAGAAGAGGGGAGCCTGTCCTCAAGATAATAAAAGGCAACACGATATAATGAAGTTATGTCATCAATAAAGAAGCAGAAAGAAGGAATGAAAAGGAACTGGCTGGCACAACGGAGACCAGGACGGGAACAGGCACATTGATTGTCTTGTGAAGATAGGTTTGGCCAGACTCAGCAAACTTCTCAGAGAAGCTTGTACTGAAAGTCGCTGAAAATGGCACACTGGAGCTGGAAAGAAGCTCAAGCTGAGAGAAGCAGACCTGCGCACACAACTGCCCCTCGCTGGTAAGCAGTTGTGCATTATGGGGAATCATATGTCCTTAGAAACAAAGACCATCCTGGTAACCTTACGTCTTATTCTCCTTATTAACAATCAGACACTTTATGATCCTGAAATATGGGACCAAATTGAGGTCAAGGTGTGGGACTCTGCAACTAAAAACGTCAAGGTTGCAGTGGGATTGCTCGGCACCTGGCGAGCAGTCTCTGAGGCCTTAAAGAGCCCTGTGGGACCACAGTCAGAAACGTGTGGTTTGCCAGACAGTGAGGGAGCTGCGGGCTCGTTTACTGACCCTTCTGCTACACCATCGGCCCCCCACCGCTATTGCCATCGCAGGCCTTTGTTGTTCCGCCCCCTGCTGATCTGGACGTGCCTTTTGACCCAGGCCCTATTGGCTTTGAAAAGGAGATGGATATGCTTTTCTTCGATCCGGGAAGATTAGGATACATAAGGCCCGAAGACCGAGTTGCTTGATGGAGACTTGTTTGTAGTCAAGAAAAGGAATGGAAAATGGAGACTATTAAGTCATGGAATTTAAAGGATTCTTTGCGCCAGGGGAGTTTTAGGTTAGATGTTAGGAAGAATTTCTTTACTGAAAGGGTTGTTGGGCACTGGAACGGGCTGCCCAGGGAGGTGGTGGAGTCACCATCCCTGGAAGTCTTCAAAAGACGTTTAGATGTAGAGCTTAGGGATATGGTTTAGTGGGGACTGTTAGTGTTAGGTTAGAGGTTGGACTCGATGATCTTGAGGTCTCTTCCAACCTAGAAATTCTGTGATTCTGTGATTCTGTGATATATTTAGAATGTTTGATGATATATTGATGATATATTTAGAATGTTTGATGTTTGTGTGTGCATGTTGGTGGAGCGTAGACTCCCTGCACACCCAGTGCTGTTTACTTGCCTTTTATACCTTTTATAAATATTTATTTTATAAATATTACTAAATTCAGATTGAGTTGAGACTTCATTTATAACAGGATCTAAGGATCTAGGATCAGGATCTACCTGATACCTAAGGATCAGGTATTTCCCCTCTGTAAATTACTGCTTGATTCCGGTACCAATATCACGTTAGAGATGCATGGAAATACTTTTCAGTTGTTGTATCACCAGCCAGCAGACAACTTTTCTGCTGTTCCTGTGGTCCCTTAAGCCCCTCTGCTGAGCCTTTACCATTTACCCTATGGTTCCAGCAACCCAGTTTAACAACAGCAATTAAGTGAACCTGTTGCTCCCTCACCTAGGCATTCTGTATAAAGAAATGGTGTTCATGTCTCTAAACAGTTCATATCCCTACCTTCAACTTTTCTTGGCTTCTGTCAAAACAGGCCCACGGACAAAATCCTCAGTTGTGAAAAAAAAAAGTTATTTTTAAACAGTCTCCCATTGAGAACACTTATACACACAACAAAAAGTTGTATATCCTACAACAGGATACTAAGACCCGGGGAGCACTAATAAACAGGCCTTGATGGCCCTGACCAGACTGACCTGCAGCCTCCACCCGTGGGCCGGGGGCTCTGACTTATAATCGAGGAGTTTTGGGCTATGGCTGCTGCTGCTGGTCTAGGCTGATTTCTCAGCTTAGCTGTAGACCTCCCCCATCACTATGGAAGTACCTAATGAACTGGACTCTGTCCTTCTGTGTTCCCTGCACTATGTCTCAATAATGGGTTCTTGTGGTTAATGGTGTTGTAATGTACTTTGTGCCCTGATGTAAAAACTGTGTACTGCTCAACAACACGGGTAGGCTGGATGCATGGCTTGGATTTAAGATATATGTGTTATACAGTAGAAGTATAAAACAATAGGCAAGTTTGCTGTAAGTAATCAGCTGTTTTAACGTGAGTTATGTCTTTTGAATTAGTCAACAGTCAAGTTTTGCTGCATTTTCATAAATAATTTGTTCCAGTTCTGTGCACAGCTATGCTTTTCTTACTGCATTTACTTTACTAGCAACTAATAGTGATAGTCAGCAGCTAATAGTGATAGTCTATGCTATATGTTAATAAGCTTGCAAGGTGTGTGAGTTTAAAAAACAAACAAACAAACAAAAAACAATTAAAATGGCCTTGGCAGTTAGCAGATATGGGCTTATCTAATAACACTTAGATGTACGTGTATTTCTAGTGGGTGAGTCAATGCTATATATGCCTTGCAGTGCTGACTGTATCAAGACTTGTGTACCTACTTGCAGCCTGTCAAAAATCTGAGTTCCTCATGTACTTCAAGCTAAGTATGTGCAAGCACTTTTGCAGGAAAATAATGTTCCCTTGAAACTCTGAAGTTTTGAAAGTACTACTTAACCTGTTATGAACATGCAAAGTGCCTTCATTTTACTATCTTTCTGGACTGGTTATTATTGGTAATAGACTATGAAGAAATTAAATAACTTGCTTGAAAATCCTGATATCTTAATCATATATAGCAATATCCTTATCCTTAACATTTTGCTGTCTTCTGCTGGAGGCATGCACATGATTCAGTGGGCCGTTAGGTGAGTTTATATGTAAGCATGAATTCTGCAGCTTTTACTTGCCTCCCTAACTGCATCAAGGCATATACACTCAGGAAACAGCAGTATGGGGACTGGCACAATGAAATGTGTTAAGTTGGGTGGCTTGCAAGATGCTTCAAAATTACTTTTGGAACTTTCCAATGTTAAGTGCAAGATTAATTCTGTTCCCAAGATCAAGCCTACAATTAAAGCTTCTGGGAGAAAAAACAAAAACAAAAAACACAAAACAAAACACTATAGAATGTTACAAAACTTCCAGCTTAAAATTATACTCTAGATAATCCCCTGAATGTACACCAGAGCATTAAGGCCATTTTATTTCTGAAGTTAGAAGGGTTCGACCTGTTCAGCTTTCTTGTGACCTTTTGTGTCCTCTTGTCATACCTGTCTCTGTTTTCACTAGTTAACTGCCCTGGGATATGCTGAATAGAAGCCAGAGGTGTTCAGCCTTGCAGTATAGGAGTGGAAACTTCTCTAAACTCATACGAATATTTTCAAACAAGTTTGAACCATCTATTCTTTATCCAAAACCGAGTCTTCTGTGCCTGAGCCTTGTATCCTAGGTAGCTCCTGTGCTGCTCCTGAGAGTGCAATTATCTTAATTGGATTGAGGTGTGAACCATAGACTTTGTGGTAATAGGTTTCTGGGTTTTATAAGCCACTTGCACAGTATCCCTGTTTCATTGTTCTCCCTGAACTGTATTTGCATTGTATCTAGGAATACCTCACTACTTACAAACCCTCTCTAACCTTCCCTTGGTTCAGCAAATTTGAAGTCCCAGTAGGAAATGATTAAATTTTGTGGTTATATAGTAATTTCTGGGGTTACATAGCTTCCTATCTCCTGGGAGGAAATGGGCAGT